GGGTGGCTTCCCTCACCTGCCAGTTTGGTGCCTACCCAGGCGCAGGCGGACCTCCAGGAGCAATGGATGGGACTACCCAGGTCCCGTCCTACATGGATGATTTTTTAATGAAGTCTATTGGGAAATGTTGGGGAGATTTGTAAGGAAACACATAGGACAAACATGCTAGCAGTGGTGAAAATGAAGTAAAAATGTAGGTATGCCAGAAATACATAAAATACGTATATATAGATTTTCTCTTCCTTGTAATTTTCTTCCCAACACTGGCTTCTCCCTAGTTCATTTTGTTGGAAGAACGCAGAGTACGGTGCACGTTCTGTAGAAAATCGTGTCTGTAGACTGTTACGAGGTCGGTCAGGCAGGCTGTGAACAGCAGGTGATGAGCAGTTAAATTTGGGGGGGAAGCCAAAGTGTTGTGCACATCTTTGGCTGCACGAGAGTGGGTGCCTCCAACTCCAACGTGGCTCAAGCATCAACTGTAGACTCAGTGTGTGTGGCCGATGGATAGGGACAGAGGACAAGAGAGGGAGGCATTTATTATCTGGATGAGCTCACGTCAAGGCCTTGGGTTCTGGAATTATGCATCGAAAGGGCCCTGTGTCTGGGGTGGGGGGTGACTTCCAAGCCAGGGGCTGACTCGGGGAAAGTGCCCAGAGTCAGATGTGTCCGCACCCTGAGACTCACAGACATTGACAGACGTCCTGCCTCTCGGGGACGCCTTCACCCCATCACTGTGACCACCCCGGCCCACCCTGGTCCCCCGCCCCAGGGCCGGGGCACGGTGCCACCAATCCACACAGTCCTAACAGAGAAGGTGGCTGACCGGCTAAAGCCGGCTTAGACACAAACAGGATTTATGACTGAAAGGCGGGGTTCTGGGGAGCTGCCTCTCGATTCTAAGCCACAGAAACCACACGCTGCAGCTTCCTCAACGGAGGAGTTGTTCATAGATGAAGCTGCTTCCCCGCTTCTCTTGATTTCTGCAGAAGACCCAGCCCAGGCTGTGCTGAAGAGAGGAACACACACACACACACACACACACACACACACACACACACACACGGCTTGCCTCGGGTTCTTGCTAAATTAATGAAGTTACTGTTTTTAAAATGGGTCAGACCACTGATGGGCAGAAACCATGAAGTTCCCAATATGGGAACTCCAAGAGACAAATGGCCCTTTATCTCTGGCCGCCGTGACCGCTGTGGGGAAAATGCCAGTGGTGTTGGGCAGCTCGGGGGCTGCGAGGTGCAAGCGGCTTCGATTCCGGAGCTGAGAACTCTTGCTGCTAATCCCAGCCCACCGCTCAAGACCTCTGTGACCCCAGCAGTGGGCTAGCGAATTCAGTATTCCTGCTTCATTCTTGTTTCCCAGTGTGTGACTACTAGTTAGTTATGAAAGAGTACACAGATGTCAGGCACATAATTCCCTTGTTTGTTTGTCCATCCATCCATCCCTCCACCAAATCCACTGATTCGCTAATCGATCCGTCCATCTATTCTTTCCATTCTCCCATCCACCCACCTGTCCATCTACCCATCCATCTATCCATCCATCCATCTATTCATCCATCCACCATTCATCCACCCGTCCATCCACCCATCCATCCATCCATCAATCCATCCACCATCCACCCATCCACCCATCCATCCATCCACCTGTCCATCCATCCAGCCATCCACCCATCCATCCACCCACCCATCCAGCCATCCACCCACCCATCCATCCATCCACCCATCCATCCATCCATCCACCCATCCACCCACCCACCCATCCACCCACTCACCCTCCATCCATTCTAATACTTTAGGACATTCTCTTACATAGATTGTACAGTGGGTACCATAAGTGTTGGCAAGATATGTCTAGGCTGCTTTGGTCAGCACAAGGGCCCCCCCCATTTACTCTCTATCATAAATTGGGCCCAACCTCTGGTAACAAAGACCGGAAACAAGAGTGGTTTAAATGAGACTGAAGCCAACCTGACTTGCACAAAAGGTAAGAGAAAAGCTTATCCTTGTTTCCATGAAAGAAGTGCAGGATGGGCACAGCCATTCTGCAGGGTCACTAGCCATCACGTGTCCTTTTCTATGTTCTGTCATTCTTCAAAAGTGCCTCTCATCGTCTAGGTTACCGCCTGCCCCAGTCTAGCTGCTGGGGCTCCAGACATCACCTCCGTCTTCCAGGCAGCCACAAGATGAAGCAGAGAAGGCTCCAAGTGGCCCTTCCCAGCCATTGCTGTACCTCTTAAAGAAATAATTTTTCAGAAGCGTTCCCTAACAATTTCTGCTGACATTAATTTTATCCCACAGAACCTCTTTTTTTCTTCTCTTTTTAATTCTAAGGGAGAGTGAGCCAATAATCTTAGAGCTGGCATATTGCCAACATAAATACAATCAAAGGCCCTGGTTGTGGGATGTGAGATGGGCAAGTTATAGTCTCACATGCACAACAGATGGATGGTTGGATGGATAAATAGATCGGTGGATGAATAAATAGATGGATAAATAGATGGATGAGTGAATGGATGGGTGGGTAGATGGACGGATGATGGATGGACGATGGATAAATAGATCAGTGGATGAATAAATAGATGGATAAATAGATGGATGAGTGGATGGATGAGTGAATGTATGGATGGACAGATGGATGGATGGTGGATGGATTAATAGATGAGTGGATGGATAAATGGATAAACAGATGAATAAATAGGTGGACGAGTGAATGGACGGACGGACGGATGGCAGTCAGATGGGTGGATGAATGCACTAGGAGACAGGTGGATGGATGGATACTGGCATGCATGTAAATGTAGAGAGAACATGTGCAAACACACACATACAACTGGCTTGGAGCACAGGCTACAAATAGACCAGAGTCAGGGGGATTAGTCATCACACATTCAGGAGACAGGCAGGGGCCCATCGGAGGCTGGGAGCGACCGAGAGTTACTCTGAAACAAAGGTACGAGAGGGCCCGTGGAGCCTGCCAGAAAAGGCCAGAACCTGGCCGTGCCCCGAGGCTCGGCCAGCACCACGCACAGCCCGCAGGTACTCCCAGTCCCGGTCCAGCTCACGGCCTCCCATGCCATTTGGATGCAACCCAAGGGGCGCCTTCCACCCAATTTCATTGCCATCCTGGAAGATAAAGCTTCCTGCCACCCAAGCGTCTGCGGACTGTTGTGGGCGTTTTAATTCGGAGACAAGCAAGGTAGCCCTCGACTGTGATCACCCCCAGGCAGCTGAATGAATCAGGAGAAATCTTCAAAAGGCCTGTCCGTAACCACGTAAGTGAGAGCCCGCATGCCTGGCATTCAGAGGAGGACCGGGCGTATTTATCACGGCTGGTGACCCAGCCCCTCAGTGATAAGATGCACCCAGACTCCAGAACTTCCTGGAATATTACAAGGGTGAAAAGAGAGACGGGCTTCCACCACGGTGAAGAGGTCTGGGATTCCTGCAGGTAGGAATTTCCTTTGAAGATGGTAGGAGTGAACTGGACATTTCCCAGGAAAGAATCTCTGCGTTTGTGCAGGAAGCACATGTTTTCTTGTGTTTTAATCATCCAGGCTTCATTCTGAGGCCGACTGACCTCAAGGTGCCAAAAAGGCTGCCGCAGCTCCAACACCCCCTCTTTTTCTACCATAAGAGCTCTGAGATCCGCCCTCCATTGGCCCCAAGACTGTGTGTGTGTGTGTGTGTGTGTGTGTGGCGGGGGGAGGGAATGGAAAGAACTAATTGACACTCTTTCAAGTGTCCATGGTGGAGGGTTAGAGAAAAAAATGTAAAGAAGGTTCAGGGCACCTGAACATGAGACAGGGGGTCAACCCAGGCTTATGACAAGAAGTCACACTTTAAAGGCTGCGTGTTTTGTTAGGTTTCTTTCTCCCTGGAAAGGAAATATAGCCTGTCTGTCCTTGGGATTCTGTTGGTGAAGGAAACCGCAGCCCGGCTGCAAAGAGTTGTCAGAGTGTGAGGTGAGCAATCACCCAGACGCACGGTGGGCCCTGGCGCATGGCCGTCTGTGATCCCCCCACCCGGTCCCCCCACCGCCCGGGCCTGGCGTGCAGAGCCGGCGGCAGCAGACAGGGTCCTGGGGCATGGCCAGGAAGGAGCCGGGGCCTGGACTCACCCCGGGAGGAGCGGACAGCGGCGCTCACGAGCCCTCGGTCGCCTGCCGCACTGTGACTCAGGAATCCTTTACCCAGGCCCTGGAGGCCAGGCGGAAAGAATTTGAAGCTAACGTCTTCGTTAAAGAAATACACTGTAAGCCTGGCACTGGGAAAGGGCAGCCCGGGGCCTCTGAATGTCTCCAGAGACCCCGGAGAAGGGGGCTGGCCGCCTCGGAGGGGACAGGGGACCCTTGTCTTGGCTCTCCCCGCCCCACCCCTGACCTGGCCTGGGGAGGTTTTCGGGAACTGCAGGCCCCTGGAATGGCAGCCCTGGGTCAGGCGGAGGAATAGACCACCGACCGGCCCTGCCGCCCCAAAGCCCCCACCGCTGCTGTGGCCTCCGTGAGTCCAGCCTGGACTTCGGGGAGCAGGGCGCCCCCGCTTTATTTTCCTAAGGAATCTCTCTTGGGGGTGGTCCTGTGACGACCTGGAAGGGGTTGTGGAGACAAGGAGGGTCCCCACAGTCTCCACACAAGGGAGGGGGTTTCACTGGGCTCCTTAGAGGCACCGCGCCGTGGCATCCGCAGTAAACGGAGGAAGAAGTGGGGTTTATTTGTTGCCTTCCGTGCGGCCCTGGGGTCCCGTCACGGGCGGGTGGGGGCATCCCCATCCTCTCCCCAGTGGGAACGGGGCTCTTTTCCCGGGCCTAGGCCCCCCAGTGGGGGCCGGGCCGTCCGCCGTCAGCTCCGCGCGCTCCACCCCGGGCTGCTTCTGGGCAGCAGGGCCGGGTGGTCACAGGCGGGGCGAGCTCGGGTTGGGGCGGGGTGATAGCGCCGCGCCCCCTTTTCCCCCTCGTCCGGCGCGGGCTCCGCCCCGGGGTGGGAGTGTGTGGGGGAGGGGGTTGCAGTGCAGCCTCCGTCCGCCAGCGCCACTTCAGGGATCCTGCCTGCACCGCACCGGGCGCACCATGGCGCGCCGGGCTGTCCTCGTGCTGCTGCTGCTGCTGGGACTGCTGAGCGCTCCGGTGTCTCCCCAGGGTGAGCGTGCGGCGGGGGCAGGGCGCGGGGCCCCGGTGTGGGAGGGGGCGCAGGGGCGGGCTGCCCCGGGCCCACCTGGAGTCTCCCCGCGGGGCGGGGTGTGTGGTGCGTGCTGCTCACGGGTGGCCAACGCCCCAGGGGAGGCAGCCAGCGCTGATTCCTGCAACTTTTTTCCCCCGGACCATTTTGGGCTCAGTCCAGAGGGGAAACGTCAGCTTTGGTTGTTTTTGTTTTTCACCACCACCTGTGAAAAGTCGCCGGGGTCTGGAAGGACCGGTGACATTGGCCTCCCCCACCCGAGGGGCAAAGTTTGTTCCGGGACCCGCCTGTGCGCCCCCACCCGGGCTGGGCTCCCGAGCGCACTCCTTTGTTCTGGGGCGCGGTGGGAGCTCCGAGCCACGCCCTGTGTCCCGGGCCTAAATTTGGACGCTGCCGGGGAGCCAGACACCCAGGGGGGAGGGGAGGGAAGGGAAGCGTTAGACCAGCTCTGGGCGTTGGAGGAGCCCAAACGCCGGCCAAGTGTCCAGGCCTCGGGGACGGCAGCGCGAGAGGACAGGCCGTGCGAAGACAAGAAACGTGTTCTCAGCGGATAGGGTGCCACGCGAGATGGTTCAGAAAAAAAGTTTCCAGAGCAGGGAACTTCTCGGGAGCCCGGCCCCACGATCCCACGCGGTTCGCCCGGCCGCTTCCTGGCGTGGGCTTTGGTTTCTGCCTTGAAAACACGGGAGAGGAGGGCTAGCCCGCCCCTCCCCCGCCCCCGCGGAACGCAAGGTCCGGCTGCGGTCCGCCCCCGGCGCGCGCTGCGTATTTTGTCCCGAACGCTGCGTTATTGTGCTGGCCAGTGCGGCCACACTGCCAGGCGGCCGGGGAGGCGGGCAGTGGAGTTTCTAGGCCGGTCTGGTGGGCGCCGCATGTGTATTTGGAACCAGAAATGGGACCGAGAAGACGGAGGAGGCCTGCCTCGACTTGGGAGCAAGCTACCCTGATCTATGGGGCCATGGAGGGTGGGGGTGGGGGGCGGTGTGGGCAGAGACTCCCTCCTGCCTCTCTGGTGCCTTCTGGAATATCCCTGCTTGTCCTCCGTTTCTTTATAAGTTTTTTTTCCCTTGCATGTTGCATTTGATCAAACTATACCAGCTCCTACCTCCCCAACTTTCTCACTGATCCAGTTTCTGCCACTTGTTTATCGTTTCCTGAGAGATTTTGTGTTTTTTCCTGAGCACCTACTGTGTGCGGCCTCCAGGGAAATGGGTGAGGGGGGGATGTTCTGGTAACCCCAGCATGGGCCATCTATGGAGGGGGGGCCAGGGACAAATATCCAGACAGGAGAATGGGACAAGCCCCAAGGTGGGGGTGAAGTGGTCTCCGTGGCGACAGTGACCGGCTCTGTGGCTGTGGTGTTGTGGTCAGTCTGTGGTGGCGTCGGGTCAGGGCAGCCCCCAAGTAAGTCATTTTGAAAGTGTTTAGGGGAAAGAAAAAACAAAACAAAAACAAAACCAAACCCAACCCCCAGCACCGTGAGCCAAGAATTCCCTGATTTCCGATGAGGGGGGGACACGAGCCAGCCTGGCCAGCCTGGGACCCCAAAATGCAGAGAAATTGGAGGTTTAGTAGCCACTGACCTCCTTCAGAAGTCCCATCCTGGGGATGGGGGTAGGAACAGGCTGTCCTGAAGGTGCGCATGGGTTTTATCAGCAAAGTCTCTTTTGTGGCTGGTGCACTGGAGACACAGTTTGTCACAGAAATACGCTGGTGCCTCGGTGTCCGCTCTGGCGGTTAAAGTCCTGTGAGGCCAAGGACGGATCTCGATTGTAGGGCTAGTGACATTGGTCTGATTTCAGAGTCCTTGGGCCCCAGGGCCCTGAGTTCCCAGGTGGCCTCGACGTCCCTGTGGGGAGGGACAAGACAGAGCACAGAAGGGCAAAGAGGTGCCTTCAACCCCAGGTGGAGACATTTTTGGTTGTCATGACTGGGAAGGGTGTGGCCCTGGTATCTGCCGGGTGGAGGCCAGGGATTCCGCTCAGCACCCTCCAGGGCCCAGGGCGAGGGACTCTGGTGTTTGTGCCACAGGCTGTCGCCCGCTGTTCATCGGGGCTGTGACTCGAGTCCGCACACACCCTCCATCCCAAAGTCAGCTCTGTGTGCCCCCTGTTTGGAAGCTGCAACGCCCACCTGAGCCGATGTCCCAAGGCCAGTCTGGGGGGTTCCCCGCCGTCCCCACCCAACAAGAATAGGCTTCCGTGGGGGCTTGCATTCCCCGGACCCTGGCCTCGCCCCCGAGGGTGCTTGCTTCTGCCTTCCTCCCAGAGAAAAGCCGGCCATGGTCCCACCCGCTTGCTGGGCCCTGATACAGTTTAATGGCTCTTCCCTGACCCCCTGCCCGCATCCTGTGTTTCTGATGCTTCCAGACACTCTGTTTGTCTCTCAGGAGATTAAACTACTTTGTTGAAAAGGGAGCACTTTTTGGGGGGAGCTCCCAAGGGAGCATTGGCCCCGGGCGCAGGTGGCAGACAGTCACTGAGGAGAGAAGACAGCACAGAGGTCGTGGCCGGTTGCGTGGAAGGCGACGTAGGTGTCCTTCTCCCTCCACGGGAGACTTCCTGGGCACTCACACCTCCCCTCACAACGGTGTGGTTTAGGGAACAGGGTCACCTGGTTCGAGGACCGGCTTGGGCGCCCAGAGAGTTGAGGAGCGCCCCGTGCAATGCCGCGTCCCCGAGAAGGTCCCCTTCCGTCCTCACACTGGGGGACTGTCTCCAGCAGTTCCATAGACGCACTGTCCTGTGACCAGCGCCCCTTGCCAAACCCTGGGGTGAATCACGGAGTGTGTGTGTGCACACAGAGGAACCTCCCAAAACTTTTTTTTTGTGATGGGGACAGAATGCTTTGGAAAATATTTCCTGCAGACATGGGGACTTCCTAAGCCTCCAAGAAGGAGCAACAGGCTACCAGGTACATCCCAGGCCAGCAAGATCGCCAAGGAACAGCGAGACCTCTTCCTTGCTGGCTTTTAGAAAGACGAAGGGTGCAAGGCAGTGCTGTGCATTGTCACAGAGGCGCCTGCCGCCATTGCGAGAAGTACATGCAGAGAAAGAAATTCTGGAAGGAACCAGGATGCAAGACCACACGTTTTCTTGATTTTCCACAGGGACTCGTAGTATCAACCGGCATTTTGCCCTTAAGCTGTCCTGAGATGCCTCTAACACACACACACACCTTTCTGAGAATATTTTGTTTTCATTTGCTCCTTTTGGAAAAATCACCAGGCTGCCCAAGATGCCTGCGTCATGGGCCCGGTTGGTGCCGCCACAACACTGGTTCTGCACGTGGTCTCGTTGTCCGGCAGACAGACTACCGGTCGACCAGCTGCCGGGCGGTTCTCTTGCTCTCTGCCCACCTGTTGTCGGAAAAGGCGCTAACTAATCAAATTCCTCCTTGTAGTTACCTGATTATCTCTCACTTCTGCAGATAGTCCTGCCCTGGGCTGCCCCTTCTTGAAATTCCTGTTCTTACTCTCTGTCTGCTTTTTTTTTTCTCTTGACCAGATTTGGGAGCGTAACACTTGGGTGTGTTTCAGCTCTCTCTTAGAATGACTCATACTTGCCGCCTTCCCTCATGTGTTCTCTTGCTAGTCATTCTATTTTTTTTTTAAAAAAATGTCCTAAACAGGAAGCTAGAGACTTCCTCTTTCCTCACCCCAGAGGCAGAGACAAGCCCTCCCACCAGGGATTCTCAGACAGCAAGGTGAGGCCCACTGCGGGGCCATCGGTGTGGTGTGGGGTCAGCAGCGTGAAGGAAGAAAAGTAAACACGGGGGGGGGGGCGGGGGACGTCAGCCAGCGTGTTTCACGCACCCCTGCCCAGCCAGCATCGGTGGGGCTGGATTCCCACTTCCTCTGGGCGCCCCTGAACCCTGACAGGAAACATAACCTGAGGCCGTGTCTTGCTGTTTTGGGTAGAACCCCCTCAGTTTCGGGGAACCACCTTCACATTGCAGTTGCGTGGCAACTTGTCAAAGAGCAGAGCAATCGCGCCAAGGGTGCTTTTGAAAAAAAAAACAGTCTTTGTTTTCATTTGTTGAAGGGCTGTCTCTCTGAAGGGCTGGAGCTGCCCAACACAATGCAGTCAGAGTTGGAGGTTCTTCAGTGTCGCTCGGGGACCCCAGGGCTGGCCGGGGGCTGCCCTGTGGTGTCGGATCAGAGAGAGGTGCAGACCAGAAAAGGCGAGCGTTTCCATGGGACCGCAACGTGCCCGAGTTACCCGTGCACGAAGTGTAAATCGCTCCTGTTGTCTGGGGGGGCAGGTGCTCTCGCAGGCATGCCGATTTTCTAAATATGGCAAGAAGCCAGAGGGTGGCCACGGTCCCCTTCTGCTTCTTCCCGTCCAGAGGGGCGTGGGTTCAGTCCAAGACGTGAATGAAAGTGGTGTGTTTGCTGAATACACAGCAGAACATGAGCTTCCCCCCCATGAAGGGATGGGGGACAGCGCCGGTCGGGGGTGGCACAGAGCGGTGCATGCAGATAGGGAAGGGGAGGTTGGGCTGGGTCTCAGTGAGGGCAAGGACACTAGGGACAGGGGCCTTGTGGGGATGGGTGGCTGGTGCCTGGGTGACGAAGAGGGGGTCCCTCCCTGCTGAGGAAGTTCCTTAAGGACCACGGCATGGCTGGAGGGAGGTGGCACACACTGGGCATGATAGATGGCGGACAGATGGATGGACGGATGTCATAGATGATGTATATAATGTCATAGATGATGTATATATGTATGTGTGGATGGATGGATGGATGGATGGATGGATGCGTAGTTGGAGAGATGTGTGGATGGATGGATGGAGGGATAGATATTATAGATTATAGGTGGATGGATGGATAGATATACGTGGTAGATGATAGCTAAATGGTAGAGGCTAGATAGAACATAGAGATATACAGATGGAGCTCTTTATCCATCTATATACTCATTCACCTATCCACCCAGCCATCCATCCATCCATCTACCCCT